AGTCGAACTGCCCTTGTTTGCAGATAATATGATCCTGTACTTAGAAGACCCTAAAGATTCTGCCCAAAGACTTCTAGGACTAATAAATTCAACAAAGTAGCAGGATATAAAATCAGTATAAAATCAATCGCTTTTCTATAAACCAATAATAGATCACTTGAGAAAAGAATCAGGAAAACAATTACATTCATGGTAGCTTAAAAAATTACCTAGGGATCAATCTGACTAAAGAGGTGAAAGACCTCTACAGTGAAAATCTCAGAACACTGAAGCAGTTGAAGACACTAGAAGAGGGAAAGACGGCGCATGTTCGTGGATTGGCAGAATTAGCATTGTTAAAACGGCTATATTACCCCGAATACTTACAGATTCAGGGCAGTCCCCATCACAATGACAGCAGCACACTTCACAAAGCTAGAAAAACCAATCCTAAAATTCAGACAAATGATTTAGAATAGCTTAAGCAACAAGGGCGGTGCTGGAGACATCACAATACTTGGGTTCAAATTATGCTGCTATAAAGCCATAGTAATAAAAACAGCATGGTAATGGCACAAACAGAGATGCAGAGACCAATGACAGCCACCTGATTCTGTACAAAGGAACCAAAAATACGTGTTGGAGAAGAGATAACCTTCTTTAATAAATGGTCCTGAGAAAAGTGGATCCCATTTGTAGAAAATGGAAACTAGATTCCTATCTCTTACTCTGTACAAAAATCAATTCAAAATGGGCCAGAGACCTAGATGTGGGATATGAAACTTTGAAACGGCTAAAAGAAAATACAGGGGAAACACCTGAAGCTATGGACACGGGCGAAGACTTCCTGCATGGGACTCCAGTAGTGTGTGAAATAATAGCAAATTAAAAAGTTTCTGCACAGCAAGGGAAACAATAATCAAAGCCAAGAGACAACCTATGGAATGGGAGAAAGTCTTTGCCATCTACTCTTCCAACAGAGGATTAATATCTACTATGAATATCTACTATCAAAAAACTTAATACCAGAGGATTAAAGTCAGCATTCCATGGGAAGACTTGCATACCCATGTTTACTGTGGCACAGTTCATGATAGCCAGGATACAGACCCAGCCTAGGCATCCACCATCAGATGAATGGGTAAAGAAAATGTAGAAAGAGTGAAACTTTTATCATTTGCAGAAAAATGAATGGACCTGGAGGTCATCATGTTGAGCAAGAGAAGCCAGACTCACAACCCTCACATGTTCTCTAATATGTGGAAGCTACAAAGGATGACACGAAAGTAGACAAGAGACTGCTATTAGACAAGAGGAAAGGAATAAGGGCGAGAGGGAGGGGACGGGGATATAAGGGTGGATAGCAGGGGGCGCGAATATGATCAAAATACGTTACACATATTGAACCCCCCCACATGTGAAACTGGTGGGTGAAGTTGGGGCGAGGGCTGGTGGAGGGGAAATGATTAAAGTATGTTAGGGCATGCGCACATCTGCCAGAAGGAAACCCATTAATCTGTATAAACAAGGTGCACTAATACAAAAAACTGGGGAAAAGATGTGGATGGTGTGTCTGGGCGGCGCTGGCTCCCTGAGACCGTCTGAGCTTCCTTCTTATGCTGGGGTCTGGAGAGGGGGGCCCTGCCTCCACCGTCGTGCTCCCTGGCTGGGTCCTTTGGGCCACTAGCCTGGAGACCCCCACCTTCTGCCTCCCTAAGTAAGATCCTGATTGACAGCTCCAGTGTAGATCACTGGCCAGCATCTCCGGAGACTCTGTGTGCCAGGGCAAGGACGCCTTTATCAGTCACTATCAGTCACTGGCCTTGTGGTCAGAGGAGGGTGGTGGTGGCAGAGCCGTGCAGAGCCGCTTCCAGGCATGTCATCCAGGGTCCAATTTCCCGTCACTGTGGCTGGTCCAATGTCAGCACTCCATCATTCAGCCTGCCAGCAGGCGAGGGGACCAAGTTCTGCCCAGCTCTGTCAGAGCTCGTTACAGGCAGGGAAGCCTAATCTAATCCCAACCCGGTGACAGCTGGGAGCCAGGGCCAGGGCCTGACAGTGGCTGTCATGCTCAATAGTGAGGGGCGGTAGCAGTGTCTGCCCAGAAGTGGAAACAGAACCTGATGCTCTTGCTGGCGGGTGACAGCCCTGGAGTGTGGCCTTGGTGCAGGGCTGCCTGCCTGAAGGGCTGCCCTCGGGGCCTTCAGTGTGCTGTCTGTGGGGCATCTTGAATCCTGCAAGGAGATTCCACAGACCTCTCTTGGGTGTCCCCATGCTCACTGGGGTTTCCCTTCAACAAGCTTTGCTTAGGGTAAAATTCACTCAAAGGTGCACAGTTGCAGCCGGGCCTGGCGGCTCACACCTGTAATCCCAGGTGTCCAGGAAGATTGCACTGCGGGCTCAGTCTGGACAGCTTGGGTAGACATAAAAGAAAGAAAACAGGCTGAGGTCCTGCTCAGCAGCATAGCACTTGCCTCACATGTGAGAGGCCTGGGTTCTGTCCCCAGCACTGCAGAAGCCACAAACAAGCAACAGAATATGGTCTTGAGAGTTTTGATAAATGCACAGAGTCACGGACCCACTTTCAAGACACAGCGCAGTTCTGTCATTGCCCCATGTTCTGCCATGACCCCTGGGATCAGCTTTTCTCATCACCACTGGCTGTTTCTGTCCTCTAGCTCTGCATTTCTACAATGTTGCTTGAATGGAATCACACAACGTGTCTGTTGGCATCTGGCTTCATTCACCCAGTCCCTACTTTTGAGCCTTAGCTGTGACACGGTGTGCATCAGCAGTAGATTGCTTTTCGCTGCTGAGTAATAGTCCATTAATGCAAGTTGGCTTATCCTTTCCTGGTTGGAGGATAGTTGGGTTATTTCTAGTTTGGGGGATTTATGAACAGAGCTACTATAAAGTGCACATGAAGAGCTACTATAAAGTTCACATGAAGGTTTCCATTTGAATGTAAGTCTTCATTTCTCTTGGGTAAATACCTGGGATGGAGATGCTGGGGCATGTGGTACGTGTGTGTGGTTAACTTTTTAAGAGGCTGCCACACTGTTTCCCAAAGCGGCAGTGCCACGTTCTGCTCCCGCTAACAGTGCTGGGCTGTTCTGGTTCCCCACCCTCCTCGCCAGCACTCGGAGTGGCCGGTCTTCAGTTTCTGTCTGTCCACCGGCGCATGGAGTATTTAGCGTTTTCCTGCTGAGGAATGATGTTCACCATCTCCTGTGCTTGTCTACCATCTGCATATCTTCTCTGCTGAGCTGCACGTCTTCTCCTCTTTAACCCACTTTAAAAATTGGGCTATTTCTCTTGTTGGGTTTCAAGAGTTCTTTCTGTTTTTGGATCAGGCTCTTTATCAGATATATGACCCATAAGTAGCTCCTTTCTATGAAAAGAGAATGTCTTTTCATTCTCTGAACAGTGCCCTTCAAAAAGCAAAAGTTCTTGAGTTTGACAAAGTCCAGATTATCAATTTGGTCTTGTGTGGATCAGGCTTTTGTGTTTGAGAAACTTGACCTCTGTAAAGTCACAGTGATTTTTCTCTTATGTTTTAGAAATTTTATAGTTTGGTAGTTGGGGTTTTATATAGTATGTTATGATCCATTTTGAGTTTTTTTTTTTTTTTGTAAGTGGTGTTGGGGATTGAACCCAGGGCATTCGCACTAAGCTACTTCTCCAGCCCTTTATAATTTTAAAATTTTGGGCAGGGTCTTGCTGAGTTGCTCAGGCTGGGCTCCAACTTGTATCCTTCTGCCTCAGCTTTGCAGAATGCTGGGATTACGGGCATGCACCACCGTGCCTGGCTTTGAATTCATGTTTCATAAGCTGTCATATATGTGGACTAAGGATATTTTTCTTCGTTACTCCTTCTTTTCACATATGGGTGTTCAGCTGTTTCCTGCCACTGATTCTAAGAGCATCCCTCCTGCATCTGACTGTTCTTGTCAGAGGTCAGCTGGCCGTGCTTGTGTGGCTCTGTCCCTGGACTCCCCAGTCTGTGCTGTGGGTCTCTGTGACTCTCCTTGTACCGGTGCTGCCCTGACCACTGCAGTTTCCTTGTCAACCTGGAAGTTAGGTAGAGGTGACACGTTGCCTTCTGAGCATGGGCCTGTTGTCCTTGCCGCTTTCCAGATGAGGAAAGCAATTTCAGCTTTCCAGGGTGGGTGTCTCTCTTACAGCTGTGCTTTTAGAACCTATCAGCTGCTCCACTTGGGTCTGGACCCCATCTTTGAAGGCCTGTGCTTGGAGTACTGTCTTGGGAATCTGGCTTGGGTTTAACTCTCAGCCCTTGTTCTGTCAGCTGTATAGCCCTGGGAAAGTAACTTTACCTCTCTGTGCCTCAGTTCCTCTGTCTGCAAAGCCAATGTAATGATAGTAGTTGCCTTACACATCATGGTAGAAATGGAATGAATCCACGCATCGATGAAAACAGGAAGCTGCTGGTGTTTGAACATCTCTGGCCGGCAGAAAATGGCACTTCTCGTAGTGCCTAGCAATAAGATGTTCTCACAGCACTGGGTAGAGGGGACGTGTTCTAGAAATGCCAGCTACGGGCTGTCACCCACCATCACTGTCCTGCCGCTCTGTTGCTATGGCATTGTTACCATTGGAGCTGGTGGCACCTGAAGCTTCTGTTGCACATTCCTGCGCCTCTGAGCAGGCAGCCCGTGTGTATCAGGTACTCCCTGTGGGACAGGCATCCTGCTGAGTCTGCACCAAGTAATCAGACCCAGTGCATGGCACAGATGTGTCTGCCTAGGGCAGGCGTGTGGAGAGTGCGGGGGGGGAGCCATGCAGTGGGCAGCATGGACACGGCGCACTAGGTGGGCCTCTGACGCTGACTGGGGTTTCGGGATGGGGTGATGTGCCAGGCTTGGGTTGCAGTTTGTGCAGAGACTTGGAAGGGGGAACAGACACGTTCAGGGGGAGGCTGGGGCTTGATCCTGGGCGGAGGGCAGGAAGCAGCCCAGGCAGCCTGGCATGGCCCACGAGGAACGCATCCTTTTCTTCCACAGGTGGTGCTAGTTTGCCCTAGCCCCGTGGGGACCTGTGTGGAGAAGACTTCCCTCTTCTGCTTCTGCCATGGCTGCCAAAACCGTCATCATAGACCACGGGTCTGGCTTCCTGAAGGTGGGACTGTCGGGCTGGAACCAGCCCCAGATGATCTATCCGAGCGTTGTGAACTACATACCCTGCCAGGAGAACCCGGGCCCCAGCTACGCCCAGAGACAGGTGAGCCTGGGCATTGACTTCGGCAACCCCGACACCTTCAGCTATCCCATCCAGCGCGGCCGCGTCATCAACTGGGAAGGCGTGGAGCACATCTGGAGCTTCGTGGTGCAGCAGTACGGGAAGGACCACGACTGCCCCGTGATACTCACGGAGTTCCCGCTGAAGGAGCCCACGACCCGCAAGAAGACCCTGGAGGTGAGGCCTTCGGAGGCGGGGGTGCCTGTTACGCTTGGCATTGCTTTTTAGATAACTGGCTTTTAGATAGTTGTTGGGTGTTTATGGAGGACACAGTGCAGGGCCTGCACGGTGCTAGACTCCTGGAGACAGAGACAGGAAATTAAAACAGTCGGTGGAAAGCGAGGTTGCTGGATGCCTCTACATAGCATCCATGTGTACTCACGGACTATGTCTTCTTGGCCCTCCCGGGATTTGTATTCTGGGGCAGGCTTAACCATGAAGAAGGTAACAGATGAGGATTCCAGAGAGTGAGTAGTTCTAGAAGTAACATGAAGTGGGGTGATGGCTGACTGGTGGAGAGGGTGAACCGGGAGGGCTTCTGGGAGGAGGTGATTTCCCCAGTGACACTGAAGCCCAGTGACTTGGGGGCTAAGGTAGCCAGAGACAAGTAGTATGGTGAGGTTCACAGGCGTTCTAGGCTGTGGAGAACACCTGAATTTTACTCTGAACCAACAATCGGCAAACCAACGTTAGCCACTGAGCCAAATGTGGCCCACCACTTGTTTTTGCAAATAAAGTTTTATTGGGACACAGCCGCTCTCACTCATTTACATTGTAGCTGTGGCTGTTTCCCCATTTAGACAGCAGAGTTGGATAGCAACAGAGACTGTCTGGTTCGTAAAATCTAAAATATTTACTGTTGAGGGTTTCCTACGTGAAATATATGATGCCTAGTTAGATTGGAGTGTTAGATAAATAACAGATAATGTTTTAGTATGAGTTTGAGCCAAATGGTGCATGGGGCGTGCATACACTCAAATACGTGTTGTTTCTCTGAAATTCAAACTCAATTGGGCATCCTGTATATAGTGGCTAAAGGACTGTGGGGCCTATTAAGGAAAGTGCTTGACAGCCCCGCCTTGTAGGACCAGAAGCTCTTGGAGAGTGGTCAGCGGGGATTTTCTATGTGAAAAAGAGGAGCTCAGCTGCTGTTTTGCCATGGACGGTGGTGGGGGTAATGAGGGGTGGGAAGGGAAGTTGGGGCTGCTGGGCCGGAAGTGGAAGTGGAAGGGGAGGAAGAAATCAGAAATTCAGAGGACTGTAGTCAGTCCACATCTGCAGGGTCCAGAGCGTGGGCTATACCTGGAGTTGGGGACTGGGGAGGGGACTCTAGGGAACCCCAGGGCAATGAGCAGAGGAGCAAATGGGCCCAGAGACCTTGCCAAACCCTGAATATCGGAATTCTAGCTTTGCTGTAGCATTTGCCAAGTTTTATTAAGAGGGGCATAGCAGCTTCTCCTATCAGGCCGCAAGTGTGTTTTCTTCTTCTCGTTCTCCCTCCATGGTTTGCAGCCACCGTGACTGTGTGGCACCTCTTCCCCTTCTTTCCCTTCGCCTTCTGTGCTGGGGATTGATCCCCAGCCTCTTTTATTTTGAGACAGGGTCTCGCTGAGTTACCCAGGATGGATTTAAAGTGGTGATGCTTCTGCCTCAGCCTCCCAGAGCGCCAGGGTAACAGCGTGCACCTCCACACCCGCTCGCTTGCTTCCTTTCTGAGCTCTTCTTCCTTCTGTCCACTTCCTCTCACTGCTCGCATGGCCCTGAGTCCTGCTCTGTTTCCTGTATCTGCTGGGTCTTCCCACCACGCCATCAGCGCCGTCTTCCAAAAGACAGTTACCAGCCAAGCTCCCGAGGGTGCCTTCAGCTCCTGTCCCAAATCCCCTAGAGCCCCTCCCTGCTTTCCACAGTGTGTGTATCCGGGTTCCTGAGCCCAGCATCCCGGGGGGAGCCCGAGTGTCCCCTGAGAACACAGCTGTGCCCCTCTTCAGATTGAGAGCAGAGTCCGTGTCTTAGTTATGGGAGAAACAGAAATGGATTAGAGTCCGGGGTTGGGGAAAATACACCGTCTTCTCCCTTACTGCAGATCATGTTTGAGCTCCTGGAAGTGCCGTCCCTACTCCTGGCCGACCAGCTGGAGATGTCCCTGTACGCCTCAGGGCTCCTCACTGGCGTGGTGGTCGACTCGGGCTACGGCCTGAGCCGCGTGCAGCCCTTCCTCCTGGGCCAGTGTCTGCCCGACAGCAAGAGGACACTGGAGTTCGCCGGCCAAGACCTCTCCACCTACCTCTTCAAAAGCCTCTTTAAGGAGAAAAGCGACGAGCACAACATTTACCAGATGGACACGGTGGCCAAGACACAGATGAGCAAGTGCTACGTGCCGAAGAACCTGCAGGAGGCGCTGGACTTCCACCAGAGCCTGCCCAGTGGCTCCGACGAGAGAGGCACCTACCAGCTCCCGGATGGCACCCACGTGGAGCTGACGGCCCTGGAGCAGCTGGCGCCCGAGATGTTCTTCAGCCCGCAGGTGTTCGGCCTGCAGGGCCCCAGCCTTCCCCAGATCCTGGTGGATTCCATCAAGTCCTGCGAGGTCCCTGGGCAGCCGATGCTCCTGTCCCACGTGATGCCCTGTGGTGGGAACAGCCTGTACCCTGGCTTCACCAAGCGCCTGTGCCAGGAGCTCAACTCGGGTCACTTCCCCCACAAGGCCACGGTGTGGATGGGCGAGAAGAGGAACTTCAGTGTGTGGCTGGGCGCCTCGGTGGTGGCCCACTTCTCCACCTACCGGTCCCAGTGGGTGGCCAGGCAGGAGTATCTGGAGAGCATGAGGCTGTGATGTGCTGGCTGGCTCCCGGGCACAGCCTCCTATCACGTGAGCTCGGGATGCATTTTAGTCCTGGAGTGGAGTGGGGTGCCGGTTGTGGAGTTAGGAGGTCTAGAGGGATTGTTTTAGGTTCTAAGGTTATATCTTGTGCCAAGAGTGGGATCCAGCCCAAGGGAGGACCAGTGTCATCCCCGGAATCCCTGCAGTGTCACGGGGGTGAGAGTGGTCGTCTGTCACCTCCCTGCCTGACACCAATGGATTGGCTTTCACGGTCATCTTCCTTGGGCTGTCTCATCCTTGCTTGTTTGGGTTTTATCCGGGGAAGAGAGCGGGACCTTTTTTCAAAAGTCCTGATTATTTTTGACTGGGAGTTGGGGGAGGGGGGTAGTTGAAGTTTCTAGTTCTGTGGACCCTTTGTGGCCAGGGAGACCCTTTCGAGGAACTGGAGTGCCTTCCCACCCACAGGGGCCTTGTTTGATGTGTGCAAATAAACTTCTCATTTGGAACCCGTCTCCGCTCCTGTGGTGGCCTGGGCAGGGTGGCAGCGCCTCGGGGAGGGCCAGGGGTGTGCGTGTCGGGGAGCCTGGTGGCAGCCGAGGCACAGCGGTCATCACCAAGCAGAATGCACAAGGGTCAGTCGTCCTGTTTTTCTGCCGCCACCTTCTTCCCATTCATCCTAGACGTCCAGAGAAGCTTGATTTCTTACGAAGTTAACATGTATTTGTTTATAAGTTAGCAAATATTTAGACACTACTCTGTGTCCGGGACTGTGCTAGGCAGTGGGGACTTCACGGTGAAAGAGATATATGAGGTTTCTGTCTGCTAGAGTACAGTCCCCTGTAGGACACAGAGTGAAATAAATACAGTCATCCTTCAAGGTCCTGGGCCCCCGTGGCTGCCGAAATCTAAGATGCTCAAGTGCCTCATCTAAAATGGAATAGGAGTTCCATAGCGCTGCCTGTATCTTTTAAATACTCTCTAGATTACTTCTGATACCTACAGTGACATGAATGTCTGTAAATAGTTGTTGCATTGTTTAGGGAATAGCAACAAAGAAAAGAGTCTGTACATGTGGCTGCGGTGGAGGAGCGAGTGGCGCTCCGGAGAGGTCTGCACTGAGACTTCATGGGTTACATGGCTGCCCAATACTCAGATTCTGTAGAACCGCCTTCATGGAGAAGGAGGAGCCCTGCGAAATCATGAGTATAGAGGAAAAAGTGGATGGCTCATTGCTGGACACTGGTGCTGGTCTCTTGGTCCTTTTCAGTCCTGGCCTGCCTTCCAGCTGTCACATCTCAGTGAGGGGAGTCACTGATGAGGAGGTAACCCGCTATTTTTTGCAACCCTTGGGCTGTAACTACTTGTTGGATTTTTCTTGCATATCTTTGATTTCCTGAGAAACCACTCTGAGGATGCTGACATGTGTTGCAGCAGCCATTGATGATTTCCTACCAGTCTGTCCATTAAAAAAAAAAAAAAGAGTCTGTACATGTTCAGTGCAGAAGCAGTCTCTAAAAAGTTCTTTCAGTCTGTGGCGGTTTGAATCTGCAGATGGGGAAAGAGTAGAAAGAGTCTATGGAACAAGGTGCCATGACCTGGGGTGAGGATGGCTGATTCCCATGGCTGGCGGAGAGGGGGATCCCGGGGTCATTAGTAATAGAGTCCTCTCCTTCCCAGGTGTGTGCTGAGACTGTGCTTTCAATACCCTGACCATTAGGAAGGGCTTTGGTGAGCTCTAGCCAACCCTGTGTGGCTGCAAAAGACCCGAGGGTTGAGGGGAGCGGGTGCTCAGAAGGCTTGGGGATGACAGAGCTCCTGAAGGAAGGAGCCTAAACAGCTGGGTGGGACAGACGCCCTCTGACCCTGCTAACCACCATGAATCCACCATGTTTGGCTGCTGAGAGTGGGGTGCTGTTTGTTACAGCAGCTGATTTGCTTACCCTGACTAATACAGAGAGAGGAGCCGTCCCCATTTATAGATACTCTGCTGTAAAGTGGCAGAATTAGAGTTCAAACCCAGGGATCTGGAGCCAGGCTTGAGCTGTAGGATGGCCCTGTCCCCAGCTGAGCTGCCTGGCCGGGTCCTTAGGTTACAGCAGGGAGTGACCCTTCCTTCCTCCAGGGGCTTAGCATTGAGCTTGTGCTAGGAGGAGGTGGGGAGACCTCGCTTTGCTGGCCGGGAAGAAGTGCTACTGAGATAAGAAAGGTGGCTTCAAATTTTATAACATGACATCACTCTGCTGTTAATCAGAACTATTAATAACGAGAGCAGCTACGTCATCCTGTCAGAGATCACGGGGAGAGCTCTACACATGGAATCACATTTAGTCTTCACATAAACACTGTGAAATGAAGGGTATTTGTCCTCATCTGTAAATAAGAAAGCCAAACCTTAGAGATGGATGTTGAACACTTACAAGTTCCCATTTAAACTCGACCTAATCATGACTTGTCAGGACAAAATTCAGCTTTTCCAGAAATGTAGATGAAAAGTGGTTGATACAGATAGAAATTTGTCTTACAACAGATAAGCAGCCCAGGGGAACAGTAACATATCTACATCATCAAGGACTCTTTCTGTCTTTCAGTTTTTCCACTTTTAGCCTGTAGCTGTGTTGGGATACAGTCACAGAAAGGCTATGGTGGCTCCGGACATCACACTCAAATTCCTTGAAGGAAAATGAAGAGTGGAGAGAGCGTGGCATCTGTGTCTCTCTCTATATTAGGAAAGCTTTGCCCAGAAGATGTCTGTTTATGTCTTATGACTTATAGGTAGCTGAAAGAAAAGATACGTAGGTATTTGCTGAGCTGACCCACAGTGTCTTCCTTGGCAGAGGAGGGATTTGAACTTAGTTCTATCAGTACTGTTTTATGCACAGGGCCAGGCTGCCCTCCCAGCCTCCTGAGCCCTAGCAGACCCCCAGACCTGAGAGATGTGGACGTGTGGTTTTCCCGGGCTTAAGTGCAGTTGTTTTAAGGGTGGCAGTCAAGGCGCCGGCATCCTGAGCAGTGCTCACTGTGCCTGAGACCTGGTGTGTTGGTGCAGCCTGAGGCAGAAAGGCAGAGGAGGGAGACGCAGGAGCGGGTCTGTGGGAGAGGGGCCTGGGGAAGAGATGGACCAGGGGCATTTGCCTTCCTTATTTAGCTCTGGGCGACTGTCGGCACAACTCTCGTGCTCATTTTATTCCACACGTAACATTTAACCTTTCCTTTTGCGCAGCAAATCTGCCTGCCTGGTGTATAATTACGAACTTCGCTTTGCTCTCTCCCCCACCCACCCCAAAAGCTTTTAAAACTCCCTCGCTGGGTCCCATCTCTCCTCTGACTCCCCAATTAAATTAAAAATAGCAGCTTCGGGGGGGCTATGTGGGGCCATCGACCACGCGCGGAGCTGCCACACACCAGGCCTGGCGGGGTGGTGCATGGTGCCCAGAAGATGCCTGCGGGCTCTGGCACGGTCTGGCAGCTGCTCGGGGCTGGGGAGGCTTCCACTCCACGAGGGGTCTGGGGCTGCCTGCCAGGGTGGCCAGGTGCAGGGGGTGGGAGCCGGGGTCTTGGCAGCTGGGCGGGGGCTGGGTGGGGCTGGCAGAGGGGACAAAAGGAAAGGCCCCTCCCCGATCGTGGGGAGGCAGCATTGCTGGCTTCTGGTGCCAAGGCTGGAAACTGGCACCCTTGCATTTGGCTGTATGTGAGGTTTAGATGCCCAAGTTCCCTGACATAACCCTGGCAGAAGCCCCGGGAAGGACGCTCCTCCCTTGCTGGAAGAGATATTCATGACCCTGCCCACCGCCAGGGTCCCCCACCCCACCCCCACCCCCATTGGATAAGCAGATGGTAAGTTGGACGAGGGTGCAGCTCTGAGGCCAGACTGCCTGGAGTGGAGTGAAATCTTCTCTGCCACTTTCTGTCTATGCCAACTTTGCCCAGGGCCTCAGTTTCCCCATTTGTCACCGGGCATACTAAGGATGCCTCGCTTGGGGTGGTTTTCATCATTCCCTTAGGGCTTGAAAGGGTTAACATTTATAAAGAACTTAGCAAGTGCCAGGCACCTGTGAGTCTGTAGGCAGCTTCTTTGTTGACAGAGTCCTTAGGTGGAAATCCAGGTTTTCTGTTCCTTCGCTTGCTCAGGGCAGGTAGGCGCCAAGGTTGGAAAATGGTAAGATGTTGCCAAGCGCTGTCCCTGTCCAAGGCCGGCGCTGTGGGGTGACGGCTTTCCTTCTCTGAGTGGTGGGGTGGAGCCGCATTCTGCACACGCAGGGACCACAGGGGTGGCGAGTGAGCGAGTGAGTGCTGCTGAGAGGTGCCAGCCTGGGGGCTGCAGAGGAAGTGGTGACTCCTGCCGGGGGAGCAGGACTTGGCACGTGCCGTTCCTTTGGTTAGGAGTGCTTGTCCCTGTCTTTGCCTCGGACAACCTGGTAAGGAGATGGAGCGCTTGGCATGTCTGGAGAACGGGGTGGGAGGGAGTGGGGCGGGATGGAGGAGGAGGCTTGCAGGGCCAGCTCTCCGTGGGCGTCCCGGGTTGGAGCGTGGGGCCTGTGCCCTGTGGCTGATGGCTGCTGTCAGAATTGTGAGCAGAGTCACACTGTCACTCGAAGGACTGGAGCTCTGGGTGTGGCCAGGCGAAGGGCTCGGAGAGGGAACAGAATCCAAACACATCCACTGTTAGACTCTAGGCTCAGAGCAGGGTGTGGTCAGGGACCCTGCTCCTCTGACCTGCGGGACGGAGAATTGGTACTGGCCATCGTCAGCCTGAGGACAAGCCGTGCGCCCAGCCCCAGCAGGGCTCTGCACCCTTTGTTCCTCCTTTCAGCACTGCCAGGCCTGGACAGCTCCCTGACGCTTCCTCTTTCCTTCACCTTGCCTAGGACCTGTTCCAAAAGCCACCCCTGGTGGAGACCCCAGGGCTCTGCCTTTGGAGCCAAAGAGAGCAAGGAAGAGTGAAAGCCCTTTATCAATCAACGAATATTCATAAGGTACCTACTCTGTGCCCAGGGCTCTTTTTTTTCCTGTTAATTGAAGAGCGTTTAGAAAGTGCCTTAGCATGGAGCCTAGCACAGAGTAGGTGCTCAGTAATTTTCTCACAATCACTGCAGCAGAAGGCCTCGTGAGGTAAGGCCCCGCGCTCATTCATGCTGCCAGCACAGCGTCGTTTCACCATCGTTTTGATCACTTCTTCCACTGAGGAGCTCAGATGCTATAATGCCACCATCCTTGGGGGTGCTTTGAGTTTAAAGAGGCCCTAAAATCAGAATTGGAGAGGTGGTTCTCACTCTTCTCTTTAATTAAGATTGGCCCAGACCACTTCTGACCCACTCTGTGGCTCTCTCCCACTGTTACCTCTCCCGGGGGGAGGGAAGGGTGCTCAGCCTGTCTGCAATCAGGGCAGTCCCTGGACACTGAGGAGGGCCTTAAAGCTGAGCCTGCTGGGTGCTATGGCGGGCACAGGGCCTGGCTGCCCTTGGGTTTGTTGAGGGGTGGGCACAGCCCCAGGGAGGTGGGGAGCA